TGAGGGGCCTGAACATCTTAGCTAAGGATGGATATAGCCTCATGGAAGTTTTAATTGTGGCTGGCCTAGATACTCCATCCTCAGCACTGGAGGTCAAGGTTTATAGTTGTTTTAGAAATTTTGTTGTCAGGCTTAGAGGTGCTGAATGTCTTAAGGGTGAGGTATCTCTCATTATATTTACACTTGAACACAAGCAAGAATTACTTCTTAATGTAAAGAAAATCTCAACTTAAGATGATTTTTGACCATTTTCTCTCTTTTTCAGTATAGTTCTAATTGTGAGATAGCATCATAGTACTTTCCTCTGTGTACTTGGCTTTAGGAGGTAGGCACAGCATGCGTGGGTATAGAGAAATACTAAATTGCTCCTTACTACATTTCAAAGGAGTGTGAGGTTCAGATGTGGCATTCCTAATCTAAAACAAGAGAAACAAATATGGCATCCTGTAAATCCCTGCTTGATTCCTGTGCCCCCTAGGGCATCCCCCAAGGTTTATTCCAGTCCAGGGTAGGTAGACACCATCTGGAGAGAGACTCAGAAAATAAAACCAGACTGGACTGTACCCTTTATCAGCGCATGATCTTATCTTCCTCAGATAACTCCTATCCTTACTCCAGAAAGTACTCCAAAGCACAAGTTAAAATTGACTTCAGCTATAACTGTTATGTTTAGAGAAGGAAGTATTGCTAGCAAACCAAGAGATTCAAACCACTGCTTTCTAGTTCCTTGAAAGAGAGAGGAAATTAGGGCACGTTTCTTACAAAAAAGATCCCTCCAGAGATGCTAAGTCAGAGATTCTGCCCTGGGCCCTAGGGTAGAGAATGCTCTGAGAATTATCTGTTCTCTATCCATTCTTTTAGGTAACTTTTATCAGCAGCAAGACAAGGCTACTCCTTTATGGTCCATTTTGAATTCACTAAGTATTTGAAACTCATAGGTCTTCCTAGCAGCCACAATCTACATAGTAAAGGCACCTCTATCAACTTTTTAGGCACACATTTGAAGGAAGAGAAAGGCTTACCAAAATAGTGGCATATTCTAGTTAGAATGTGAAAACAAATGCAAATTACTGATTACTATTTTCCCCAGTGTAAGTCAAAACAGTTGTTATGAGTTGTCTTAGTCTGACTTTCTGGTAGGAGGAGTAGTCTGACTGGGAGAAATTCTCAAATGAACTCCCAACAAGTTGGAGAAAAGTTTAAGGGGAGTTTTTAACTCATTATCAGAGAAAAAGTCCAAATAAAGCTCAAGCTGGTTAAATATCCAAAAAAATTAACCATATAGCATTTATAAGACCACAGTTAATGTTCCAAAGTCCATAACCTATTGGAAAAGGCATTTCTCTCCCCTACACACATAAATGAGGAAGGGGCCGGGGTTTAGCTCAATGGTTTGCCACCTACCTTGCAAGCTCAAGGATCTGAGTTTGATTCCTGGTACCAAAAAAAAAAAAAAAAAAAATGAAGAAGACCATGCCTAGGAGGTGGGGAGAAGGTAGTAGTTTTAATCTTTGAAAGATTTGTTTTTTATATTTGTCTAGAGGTCTGTCTTACTAGTAATAGAGAAAGCAGTCCAAACCTGTAGCTCAACTCCTACCAGAGGCTTAAGAAAGGGCTCTGACGGCACCGTTTCAGATCACTCTGAGACAGAGGATCCCTGATGACCACTGACAGAGTTCCCCTTTCACCTCACAGAGGAGTCCAGATAGGACAAGATGTGGAGATTTTCTGCTGATTACCTAGATGGGTTGTCAGGAGCTAGTTTCTTCTGAGGGACTTTTGGGTATCACCAGAGAGTAGCCCTGGCCATGACCCCTCAGTTGTCACCTCAGTTTCTGCTATTCCACACAATTAAAGACCTGTCTCTGAAAGAAACCCGTTTTCCTAGCTGGTCAATGTTCCACCCTCCATGGGCATCAGTGGGAGTAGGGATTCACCAGAGGACAACTGGAGAAACCTGTCCTCTGCTTTGAGAGTGGCAGCTGCCCTAAAGACAATTACTAGCTGGCGGAGTAACCACTGTTTGTTTATGATTCTATAAGGGACAGATAAAGCCTAAACTGTCTTTATCTGAGATGATTTTATAAGAGACCCATTTCACAGCATTTTGAAGGAACTAAGTGCAAATGTAACACATAGAAAACAAGAGTAAAATGTAATTTTAGCAAAACACAATGAATAAGAAAAACAAGAAATATGCAAACATTTAAAACACGCAACTTAAAATTAAGACACTTTTAAAAGAAAGGTTAAACAAAGGCCAGAATTTATGAAAAAAGCCCAAAAAAACAGAATCTATAAAACAAATGAGAGCCTATGAAACAAGTTACAATCTATGAAGCAAAAAGACCAAAGTTAGAACCTATGAAAGAAAACTCTTACCTCTGACCAGTAATATTGGTGGAAGAACTCCAAAATGATATAGGGGGAAGAGAGGTAATTCCCAAACCTGCTAGATATCTGAAATGCGAGTTCGTGATCTCTGACGTTGAAAAATGAATTCTAGGAACAACAGAGGTTAAGAGGTTAAGAGTAGGAAAAATGTATTGAGCTTTCTTTCTGAAGGCTCCTGTTTAAGAGAGACAGAAGGGGGACTGGAAAGTGAGTTGTCCCTGTTTTTGTTTTTTTGTTTTTTTTTTTTTAATGCTTTGATGCTTGAAATTTTGCTGTTATTATTATTTATAATATTTTTCTTTTATTTTAAGCTGTATAGCAGCAAGCAAGGTATACTTTTATAAATAAGGTTGAAATGATTGCTTTTTTACCCTACTTGATTTCTACAGAATTCAGAACCTCTCAATGACCACTCTTATTTTCATGGCAACATAGCTATTTGCTTAAGTTCAGTAAGAAACTATTCATTTGGAAACACTGGTTAATATTACCAAGGTGTTCACTGAAATGTCATATTTGGAAATTATGTGCATAGAATGATACGTGAGAATTTTCAAGAACTGAGAGTGACTTTATGGAGCACCTTGGAAAAACCAGTCTGATTCCTTATTTTATTTATTTTTTGTTTTATTTTTATTTATTTATTTTATTGTATTTTATTTTGGTTGATTCCTTATTTTAAAAGATCTCCAGACTTACAGTTAAGTAAGTCACTTTCTGGCAAGTCTAAAAACCTCAAAATACCTTGGAACACACCCCACCCAACAGAGGAATTCATAGCTAACCATGGTGGTGTACACTTGTAATCATAACACTCTGGTAGGCTAAGGCAGGAGGATCACAAGTTCAAATCTAGCTAGCCTGGGCAACTTAGTAACTCAGGAAGACCCTGTCTCAAAGTTTAAAAAAAAAATTTTTGAAGGCTGGGGAGATAATTCAGTATGAAGGTCATGGGTTCAACTCCCAGTACCACTAAATTAAACAAAAACAGAAAGAGAGGAATTCACCCAAATCTATAGGTATTGCAGGCAAAGTACGATGACATACCCTAGGCTTGTCTTTCTAGATTTAAGAGATTTTTGAAGTCCTCACTGAGCCAGGCATGGTGCTGAATGCCTAGAATCCCAGCTAACTGGAGGGTGAAGGCAGGAGAATTCCAAGTTTGAGGGCAGGCTGGATAACTATTTAAGACTTTGTCTCAAAATAAAATTTTGAAAGGGCTGGAGATTTACCTCAGTGTTCATGAGGCCCTTGGTTCAACCACCAGTCCTGCAAAAAGCTGATTCAGATTTCTTGTGACAAGTTCCAGCAAAGTAGACTAAAACAAAACAAAACCAAAAAAAGCTATGTAGTCAATAATTATTCTTGTGTACTAACATAAATAATCAGAAAACTTTAATGACAAAAGCCCTATTTTGCAAGCAAATTAGGTTTTCTGTGATTATCTTTAGTAGAAATGGGGATGACTTTAGAGAGAATAACTATATTTTAGTAGAAAACTATAATGTACTCATTATTAGCTTCTAGCCTTGTTCACTATCTCTAAGGTTCTGTAATCTAGACTGGTAACTGCATTCTCAGTTTCCACCAATAGCTTTATAGCTCTCCAAATTAACACTTCCAATGTTTCTTTTTTTGTGGTACCCAAGGTCTTTGCACCAAGCTACATTTTTAAAAAAAGTTTTTGTTTTTGAGACAGACAAAATTGCATACCAGGAAAAATGTTGAAATGCAACTACTATCCTTATTCCACTGTCTAAAGATGCTTCATGATTGACATCTTGACTTACTAGGGACCCCTGAAATGTTACTGAAAACCTCTGTAGTAGGCTCCAGTCTCTTGCTCAGTGCGTGTAGGCCTGAAGAAAAACAAGGGGCCAGGGATTTAGCTCAGCAGTTCAGTGGCCTGCCTTGCAAGTGCAAGGACCCGAGTTCAATCCCCCGTACCAAAAAAAAAGAAAAGAAAAACAAACAAATAAACAAACTAGTGCCAGGGATTTAGCTCAGTGGTTCTGCCACCTGCCTTGCAAAGCACAAGGTCCGGAGTTCGATCCCTGGTACAAAAAAGCCAAAAAACTAAAAGAACTAAGACAGACAGAAAGCAGGGCACCAGGATGACCAATGAGGGTGCAATTGACAAAGGCACTGGTCCATCCAATCCACTGATTTTTATCAGTAATCAATTGGGGTAAAAGTGAGCTACATGCAAGGGCAGAACTATGTGAGAGGATGTGCAATCATGCAGTTTCTATGGAAACTAATGTAAGCAAGATGCATAAAGGACAAGACAAAGCATTCTCAAATTCAGAACAGGATGGACAAAATATATGATTGTAATTAGAACACTATCATTCTAGTAAGAAGTTTTTAGTTGTGGGAACAGAATTTGAGTGCAAGTTACTCTGACCTCGGCGCATAGGCTTCAGCTGGTCTCATTTTTCAAAACAAACCAACTGTGGGGTTAATTCTTCACAGCCAGCACTGCTTGCAGCCTGCTTTAGGCATAATCAATAATGCAGTCTCCCACATTGACTAACTGCCCCCTGGACCTAGAGAATGGGTTTACAGTCTGTTCTATTAATCATTCTTTTCGTTTGTTTCCATAGAAATCCCCTTACTATATGCCTGACTGCTTTCACCACCCAGAAAATACCCTCTACCACCAAGTCTTAACAAACAATCCATGATCCCTAATGAGCAAAGAGGACTAAGAAATAGACTTACATTGTTTAAAAGAAAGATCTCTTCTTACCTTGAGCAGAAGGGGAAATTAGCAAAGACTCTCCTTGGAACAAAGTTTGGTAAGGGAAAGAAAATGGCAGAGTGGTGATTCATAGCAAAATTCAGTCTCTTTGAGATCCAGAATCCATAACCTGGAAAATAACTTGGTGAAGCAAAAAGGATAAGGCAGATCCCTGGGAATCAGGAAACAACTGTAGGAAAAATCAGAAGCTACACAGAAGTTGGTAAGATGGCCCACAAAGCAGAAAAAAAGAAGGAAACAATTTGGACTCTCTTCTTGGCTCTTGAAGCTTAGGGAGTGGAGTGGCTTCCCAGAAGCAAGAAAAATGTCCAGGGCTGGAGATCCAGGGAGAAATGGCAGCAGAGCCCATGGAAAAGTGCAAAAAAAAAAGTACAAGGTTTTGCTCCAAGAGAACTCCTTCCACACAGCAGACACTAGCCAGAGAAGAATTTAAGAGTGGGCACCAAGCATATTGCCAGACAATGCTTGCTCAGGTACCATTTTAGAAAGGGAGCTCAGAACAACTAAAAAATAACCACTTCGGGCTTCCAGTGTTATCCTCCCACATTGACTGGGTGAGAGACAGCCATGGGAGACAGCCACTGCCAAGGAGCAGCTAGAAAGAGACACCGGAGAAGTTTAAACTCAGGCCAGGAAGGACGTGGGCCCAGTCCTCCTGGTGAGTTGAGCTCAGAAATAGCTAGTTCTGCCAGGCATGGTTGCCTGTAATCCCAGCACTTGAAAGAACAAGGCAGGAGGATCACTGTGAGTTTGAGGGCACCTTTTGCTATATAGTGAGTTTGAGGGCAGCTTGAACTACATAATGAGACCCTGTCTCAAAAAAAGAAAGAAAGAAAGAGAAGACAAGCAGAGCAGAGCTGAGTCTGAAAGTGCTGGCTGGTATTACTTGAGCCCATGCCCTGTGGCTTACATCCAGAACAGATCTGAGTTCTGGTCACCTACACTGTCCACCAACATGAGCAAGGACACCTCCTATCACCACAGACTCAGGTAAACAGAAGGGTCTCGCAGACCTTAAAGCTAGATGGAAAAAACTGAGACTTTCTGGACTTCAAAATTGCGGATCCTACAAGGAAACCACTCATTCAAAAATAAAGAGAAAATTTTTTTCTCTGGTTTTGGACTCATTTTTTTCCTTTTTCTTTCTTTCTTCATTTTCCCTACTCCTTTTCTCTTTTTCTTTTTAAAAATTCTCCACATTATTTTTCTCCCTTTTTTCTTCTATTTTCTCTTTGGCCCTTTTCCTGTACCTTTATCTAATTCTATATATATATAGAAAT